TGTTCTCCTCTAGGATTTTGATGGAATTCCTGTCTCACATTGAGGTCTTTCATCCATTTTGAGTTTATCTTTGTGTATGGTGTTAGAGAATGGTCGAGTTTCATTCTTCTGCATGTGGCTGTCCAATTTTCCCAGCACCATTTATTGAAGAGACTCTCTTTTTTCCATTGTATATTTTTTCCTGTTTTGTTGAAGATTATTTGACCACAGAGTTGAGGGTCCATACCTGGGTTCTCTATTCTGTTCCATTGGTCTATATGTCTGTTTTTGTGCCAGTACCATGCTGTCTTGGTGATCACTGCTTTGTAATATAGCTTGAAATCAGGCAAAGTGATGCTCCCAGCTTTTTCTTTTTCAACATTTCCTTGGTGATTCGGTGTCTTTTCTGATTCCATACAAATTTTAGGATTGTTTGTTCCAGCACTTTGAAAAATGTCACTGGAATTTTGATTGGGATGGCATTGAAGGTATAGATTGCTCTGGGTAGCATAGACATTTTAACAATGTTTATTCTTCCAATCCATGAGCATGGAATGTTTCTCCATCTTTTGTGTCTTCTTCAATTTCTTTCATGAGTGTTCTGTAGTTCCTAGAGCATAGATCCGTTACCTCTTTGGTTAGGTTTATTCCGAGGTATCTTATGGTTTTTGGTGCTATTGTAAATGGAATCATTTCTCTAATTTCTGTTTCTACAGTTGTGTTGTTAGTGTATAAGAAAGCAACTGATTTCTGTGCATTGGTTTTGTATCCTGCCACATTGCTGAATTACTGTATGAGTTCTAGTAATTTGGAGGTGGAGTTTTTTGGATTTTCCACATAAAGTATCATGTCATCTGCGAAAAGAGAGAGTCTGACTTCTTCTTTGCCAATCTGAATACCTTTTATTTCTTTTTGTTCTCTGATTGCTGTTGCTAGGACTTCTGGTACTATGTTGAAAATAGTGGCAAGAGTGGGCATCCTTGACATGTTCTTGATCTTAAAGGAAAGGCTCTCATCTTTTCCCCATTGTGGATGATATTTGCTGTGGGTTTTTAATAGATGGATTTTGTGAACTTGAGGAATGTTCCCTCTATCCCTATACTCTGAAGAGTTTTAATCAGGAAAGGATGCTGTTTTTTGTCAAATGCTTTTTCTGCATCAATTGAGAGGACCATATGGTAGGATTTTGTTGAGGATTTTGGAATCCATATTCATCAGGGATATCGGTCTGAAATTCTCCTTTTTGATGGGGTCTTTGCCTGGTTTGGGGATTAAGGTAATGCTGGCCTCAAAGAATGAGTTTGGAAGTTTTCCTTCTGTTTCTATTTTTTGAAACAGCTTCAGGAGAATAGGTATTATTTCTTCTTTGAATGTTTGGTAGAATTCCTCAGGGAATCCATCAGGCCCTGGACTCTTGTGTTTTTGGGAGGTTTTTGATCACTGCTTCAATCTCGTTTCTGGTTACTGGCCTATTCAGGTTGTCCGTTTCTTCCTGTTTCAGTCTTGGCAGTTTATAGGTTTCCAGGAAGACAGTCATTTCTTCCAGGTTGCTTAATTTATTGGCATATAGTTGTTGATAGTAATTTCTAATAATTGTTTCTATTTCCTTGGTGTTAGTCGTAATCTCTCCCCTTTCATTCATAATTTTATTAATTTGGGTCCTACCTCTTTTCTTTTGGATAAGTCTGGCCAGTGGTTTGTCAATCGTATTAATTCTTTGAAAGAACCAGCTTCTAGTTTCATTGATCTGATCTACTGTGTTTCTGATTTCTAATTCATTGATCTCTGCTCTCATCTTAATTATTTCCCTTCTGATGCATAGTTTAGGCATCGTTTGTTGCTTTTTCTCTAGTTCTTTAAGGTGTAGAGTTAGTTGGTGAATTCAAGATTTTTCTATTTTTTTGAGTGAGGCTTGGATGGCTATTTTTTTCCCCCTTAGGACTGCCTTTGCAGTATCCCATAGGTTTTGGACTGATGTGTTTTTGTTCTCATTGATTTCAATGAATTGTTTAAGTTCTTTGATTTCCTGGTTGACCCAAACATTCTTGAGCAGAGTGGTTTTTAGCTTCCAAGTGTTTGAATTTCTGCCAAATTTTTTCTTGTGATTGAGTTCCCATTTTAAAGCATTATGGCCTGAGAATATGCAGGGAATAATCTCAATCTTTTGGTATCGGTTGAGACCTGATTTGTGACCCAGTATGTGGTCTATTCTGGAGAATAGAACTTCTGGAGAAAGTTCCATGTGCGCTCGAGAAATATGAGCATTCTGTTGTTTTAGGGTGGAATGTTCTGTATATTATCTATAAGGTCCATCTGGTCCAGTGTGTCATTCAAAGCTCTTGTTTCTTTGATTTTCTGCTTAGATGATCTTTTTTGCTGAGAATGGAGTATTGAGGTCTCCTACAATTAACGTATTGTTATCAATATGACTCTTTATTTTGGTTAACAGTTGGCTTATGTAGATGGCTGCTCCCATGTTGGGGGCATAGATATTTACAATTGTTAGATCTTCTTATTGGATAGACCCTTTAAGAATGATACAGTGTCTTTCTGGATCTCCATCCCTTCACTTTCAGTCTGGATGTATCTTTAGGTCAAAAATGAGTCTCTTGTAGACAGCATATGGATAAGTCCTGTCTTTTTATCCAAACTGCAACCCTGTGGCATTTTATGGGAGCATTTAGGCCGTTCACATTGAGACTGATTATTGAAAGATATAAATTTATTGTCATCATGTTGCCTGTGAAGACCTTGTTTCTATAGATTGTCTCTGTAAATTTCTGTTCTATACCACTCTTGGGGTCTTTCTCCTTCTATAGAACCCCCCATAATATTTCCTGCAAGGCCGGCTTAGTGGTCACATATTCTTTCAGTTTCTGCCGGTCCTGGAAGCTCTGCATCTCTCCATCCATTCAAAATGACAGTCTTGCCAGATAAAGTATTTTTGGCTGCATGTTCTTTTCGTTTAGTACCCTGAATATGTCTTGCCAGGCCTTTCTGGCTTGCTAGGTCTCTGTGGTTAGGTCTGACATTATTCTGATGTTCCTCCCTCTGTATGTAAGGAATCTCTTCCCCTAACCGCCCTGAAGATGGTTTCCTTGGTTCTAAGATTTGCAAGTTTTACTATTACATGCCAGGGTATTGGCCTGTTTTCCTTGATCTTGGGAGGGGTCCTCTCTGCCTCTAGGACACTAATGTTTGTTTCATTTCCCAGATTAAGTAAGTTCTCAGCCACGATTTGCTCAAATATATCTTCTAGTCCTCTCTCTCTCTCCACCCCTCAGGGATCCCAATAATTCTGACATTGGAACGCTTCATGGTGTCACTTATTTCTCTGATTCTATGTTCATGGATTCTGAGTTGTTTTTTCCTGACCTCCTCTTTTCCCTTTTTATCTATTAAATGGTCTTCCAGGTCACTAATTTGTTCTTCTGCCTCCCTTACCCTAATTGTTAGATTATCTAGATTAGACTGGATCTCATTGATAGCATTTTTAAGTTCTGCCAATCAGGTTTTACTTCTGCCCTTAGAGACTCTATGTTGCCTTTAATTGATTTCTTCATTCTAGCTATTGTCTTCACAATTGCTAGCTTGAATTCCATCTCTGACATCTTGGTTATATCTGAATCCATTTGTAAATCTGTGGCATAAGTCATAAACTCTGAGTCTTTTCTATTTTGGGGGTTCCTCCTCCTAGTCATTCTGTTTTGGGTGGTTGAGAGAATGTATAGAGTCCAAATTATTGACCACAACCCAAGCAAGATGCACCTGTTTTCTAAGTACCTTAGGGTAGCTGGCCTCTTGTTTTCCCAGCCTGTCTTCTGGGGGAAGGGCCTGCAGCACTGTTACTCAGGCAACCCTGTTTGGGCAGAGTTGCCCTGCCCCCTGTGGCGGGGGATGGGCTCAGTGAAAACTGGTTTTTTGGGGCTTTTGTTCTCTCGCGGCTTTCCCTGGCAGCTTTCCATGTCTCTTCCAAGAGTCAGAGCAGAAGAGACCGTTTCCAACCCTCTGCCTCAGAGCAGAGATATCAGTCTGTTCTTCAGTGAGCTCTCCGGCCACACTATCTCCGTTTCTGTCTGTGCTGCTATAAACTGTGCATCCTGGGTTGTGTGCCCCTCAGCAGGGCTCCCAGTCCTCGCCTCCAGGTTGGGGAACGGGGGCACGTCTCTGCCCTTTGTGCTTCTAAAACCGCCAGCTGCCCCCAGTTCACAGGCACGGCCCTGCCACTCCAGTTCCCGTCTGGGGGGCTGCCCTAAAGTCCTTTCCTCGCTGCTACCGGTCTGCGAGTCTGTGCCCCGTCCGCAGTGTGGGAGGCTATTGCTCACTGGCGGTGTAGTATCCCCATGGTCAGGACCCCTCCCCCTGCCATTTATCCTCCGATATCTGCCCACAGAATCATGGCTCCCTGCTTTGTACCTCGAAACCAACCGAGATATTCTGTTTGTAGAGATCCAGCTCTGTCGTCTTACATCTCAGGCTGATTTCGTGGGTGTTCAGAGTGGTCTTGTAGATATCCAGCTCAATTCCGGGGACTGATTGGAATAGGGTCCCCTATTCCTCCCCCATCTTTTCCCCCCTCCTCAACAGATTAGGTTTTAAGTGTGAATAAAAATCATTGGATAAAGTTCAAATATAAAATTAGCAATAAATGATAAAATGCCACGAATTCTCTTCATTAGAGTCTGAGGTCTGCAAACTAGAGCAAAACCAGGGCCAGAAGCCTGTTTCTATAAATAAAGTTTTATTGGAACACTCATTTTCATATTGTCTATGGCTGCTCTTTTGCTATGATGGCAGACTTGAATATTTACGATTGAGACCACCAGGGCCACAAAGTCAAAAACACTTAATATCTGGACTTTTACAGAATGTTTGTTGACCCCTGTCCTAGATAATCCAAAAATAGAGTTTGTGTTAGAAGTATGATAAAGAGTGATAAAGAACTGTGATAAAAAGTGGCTTAAAAACAGAACTGTCACCAGTCTGTAACAGCATGAAAATGCCGGCAAGGTTGTTTTTACCTTGAAGGTTTTCCTTCTTCAACAAAGAACTGAGTTGACTCATAGCGTTGAAGGTGAGAATCGACTCTACAGATGCTCTGTATCGCCCGGAATGTTCAGTGTTGACATTCAGCCCCAGACTCTGAATTCCTTGTCCAGTCTCTATCCCTTCCAGGAGGGGAAGCTCATGAGGAAGAAAACTGGAAACTATGCTGTGAAGAGTTGGCTCCTTAGAATCTGGATCTAGTAACCAGCACGCCACCTAAATGGGTTCAAAGACATTTGTGCACACTTAAAAGGGGAAAATGTTCATTTCTGATCTCACTCCTTTTCACTTAATACTAATTCAGTGGTCTTCCCTGGAGAGAAGAAGGAAAGGATAACTGTAAATTGTACCAGGACTCATTTTTGGTACTAGTGAGAGCAGCTTTCAAAAAAGGAAAACTTACAACTTTTCCATTACTACAACATTCCTGCTTATCTGGTTCTGAAATAGCCTTGAAATCCAAGTGCCTCTCAGATAATTAAAATCATATTTCTGAAAATGTAGATGGAATCTTCTCCACTGAGGCTGATTTGGGCTAAGCTACTATAATAAAGCCAAGTTTTAGGTTTTTAAAAATTCTCTTGACATCATAATAAGTGAGACACAAATGTTTTACCATTAAAAGTTTATACCCAAAGTTTTAGAAAGCCTCCAGGCTTTCCCCTCAGGATAAGGGCCTGCCAACAGGGCCATCCAACAAATCATTTGATTGCTATTTTTAGTTCCCCTGCCAGATTGGAAGACCTGTAGTTTCTTGTGTGTGTGTGTGTGTGTGTGTGTGTGTACAGGTCTGTGATTCATCAGTCTTATATAACACCCAGTACTCATTACATCACGTGCCCTCCTTAATGTCCATCACCCAGTTACCCCATCCCCACCCCCAGCAACCCCCAGTTTATTTCCTATGATTGAGTCTCTTATGGTTTGTCTCCTGTAGTTTCTAACACTAGGTGATCTAGTGGACCAAAACTAAATTAGAATAAGGAAATCTAAGCCCTGTTCATAATTCTGACAATTACATGACTCAATTACTTCTTCTATAGGTTAAGAATATAGTTTGATAGGGGAGTATGATATTGTGAATTGTAATAAGAAATATAAATTGGGGGGCGCCTGGGTGGCTCAGTTGGTTAAGCAACTGCCTTCGGCTCAGGTCATGATTCTGGAGTCCCGGGATCGAGTCCCACATCGGGCTCCCTGCTCGGCGGGGGGTCTGCTTCTCCCTCTGATCCTCTTCCCTCTCGTGCTGTCTGTCATTCTCTCTCTCTCTCAAATAAATAAATAAAATCTTTAAAAAAAAAAAAAAAGAAATATAAATTGGGTCTTTGTCCCCATTTCTAGCAGAGAACTTCTAAAACCCTTGAAATTTCCTAAACTGAGAGATAAAGTCACCTTTTGTTATGTTAATGAGGTGACTTTGGGAATGCCCCAAGGTTACCTAAGGATGGGGGTTGGCTGCCCAAGGAACCAACTCTGTGATTGGAGGGTTGGAACTTTCAGTCCTGTCCCTTGACCTGCTGGGAGGTGCCTGGAGGTTGAATTGATCACCTATGACCAATGATTTCATCAGTTGTGCCTATGTAATGAAGGCTCTGTAAAAATCCAAAATGACAGGGCTTGGAGAGCTTCGAGGTTGGTGAACACAGAGGTGCTGGCAAGAGTAGCGTGCCTAGACTGAGCATGGAAGCTCCCCTCCACCTGATTAACTGAATCTGAAGGAACCTCTCATTTATAGTCAGTCGGTCAGAAATACAGGTAAGAACCTCGACTTAGAACTGGCATCAGACATCCTTGCCAGATGTCCTTGGAAGGAGGTGCTTGGACTCTCTAGTCTATATTCAGTTGGTCAGAAGCACAGGTGTTAACTTGTGCTTGATGCTGGCCTCAAAAGAGCAGGTAGTACTGTGGCACTGACCCTCCAGAGAGGTAGTGTCAGAATTGAGTTGAATTGTAGGAAACCCATCTGGTGTTTCCAGCACTGCTTGATGGTATGGGAGAAACCCTGTAAACATATCAGAATTGGTCTCAGAACAATTTTACTTGGTGGCAGAGAAATGGGTCTTGCTAGAAAGGGCCTGGCTCACAGAAACATATGGCTTACAACAAGAAAGGATAAAAGGGTGGGGGATGATGACCCTTTGATCCCTGGATGGCTACCTAGTGACCCATGTATGAAACTGTAGCTACACTACAGTTACTAAGGGTAAAAGTCACTAATTTAATTTAGAAATGGCAGACCTAACTCCTGAGGAGTTGGCTCATTGGATATATAAGTAAATGAAAAACAGTAAGCACACTAAACATGCAATCTCTTGGTTACTGCTATCTGTGATAGCTAAATAAAAGTAAAGGAAAGTGTTGGGTCTGGCTTTGATGGTAAACAAAACTCAGATTTGAGTCGGTCTGAGCTTTAGCCACTAGCCTCAAAGTCAACAGTGCAGGGGCAACACAAAGCACCCCTAAGACCTCTGGTCACCAATAAGGTAATCAGTGTAGGAGCACAATACCTAGAAACTATCAAAACCAGGGGGTATAGTGTGACAGAGTTGTTTCATTTTGTGGATCAGTATCATCAGCTTCTTGTGGAACCTTAACTAAAATGGATTATGAGAGTGATTTAGGAGGAGTGTTTGGTTTGGGATGCTGCAGGATGGAAGAGCAGAGGGTTGATGTAGGACCCAGAGCTCACCACGGTACAATCAAAATTGAGTGTATGTGATCCAGACACACGGGAGGTTATTCCTATGGGAAGAGCTAGCCTGGTGCACTGGATAAAAGCCATTATCAAGTCTGTTTAGCCTGAGAGGGGGACTGTCCCTCTTCTCTTATAAATGCCAAGTGGAACACCCTAGATGAAACAGCTGATATTCTTCATATGCAAGCCATATGGGACTGCTTTATGATAACTGAGATATTTATCTGCTGAAATCTAACCACTACTCAGGTCATAGTAAATGCTGTGGTTTAAGGTGGCCCCTTTCACACAGGTACCCCATATAACCCTACTGTTGCAAAACTGAGGGACAGTTTGGAAAGCCTCATCAAATTTGCCTTCTCAGCTTCTTCTCATAGGTCTTAGAGATGGTAATAAAAACATTAGGTTTATTGACAAGAGAATGGGAAGAGGCAGGGGGAGGTCAAGAGACTTCCCAACAAGGTGGAAATTTTTAAAAGGTTAAGGAATAAGGTGAATATGAAGCAAATATTCAAGAGAAATAACAAGAGAAAGAGGAAACAGAAAGGGAAGTCTCAGGACTCACCTCAGCAGGATGGAAATTTTTAGATGGTTAGTAAGAAATGTGATGAATAAAATGGGTGTTGATGGATTAAAAAAAATTTTTAATAAAGCATCAGCAAAGGTTGGGTGGGTCAAAGCAACCCCCATTAAAGGGCCCCAAACAAGACTGCTCTATTTACCATAATATGGAGAAATTTAAAAAGCTCAAAGACGTAAGTTACAATGAGAAACCTGACCAGCAATCAGTGGTTAGGCAGATTAATCAAGTTAAAGACTGATAAAAGGGCTGGGGTCCCTTCACTCAATGCCTTCCTGGGGACCCAAAAAGTCTTTCAGACAAGAGTAGGTAAAACTGTCAGGGGGTGGAAAAGAGAAGTTTCCTGGACTCCTGGAAGAGAGAGATCTAGGAACGGTGGTACTAAAACCCATAGGTAAAGCCCTGACTTGGGCTACAATTAGAATAAGAGAACTGTAAAAATGTAATGGTTGACAGGATTATGTAAACTGGAATGTTAAAGCAGGTATTATGTAAAGAAGTTGTGTCTCCTTCAGGCTCCTGGGTAGCTCAGTCAGTCAAGCATCTGCCTTCAGCTCAGGTCATGATCCTGGGGTCCTGGGATGGAGCCCTGGCTCCCTGCTCAGCAGGGAGTCTGCTTCTCCCTCTCCCTCTGCCCCACAGTGTGGAATGAAGCTCAAGGGCTGATAGCGACAAATTCTTTGTGCAATAGCCCTTTGTGGAGACTGGGGCTAATGGCAAGAGCTTGTGAACACCTCCCAACAATGACAACTGGGACTTTAAACAAGAGAATTTCCATTTGAGGGTATTTATGGCCTTGCTATCTGACATTATTAATTGAAGTTATTCTTATGACTAAAGGATATAACATGATCTAGAAACCTGAAATACCCATCCAACACAGGTGATATCTAAGAAATGCTCTAATGGAGTTGGCAGTGCCCAGGAGAGTTACATAATAAAATGAAAACAGGTTATACAGGATCATGCTGCCTGGGGAACGCAAAGAAGAGATGCTCAAGAGCAGGGAGCCTCTTTTCTCTTAGGCTTGACTCTGGAATTGTGTGAGGAGCTGCTGCTGGATTCTATTGTCACTTGGACAGTACTCTATAAACAGCTGACTGACTGACAAAAAGCTGCTAGGTTTGTGGATGGCAGTTCCGAAGTGAATGAACAATACCCTGTTTTGGAAAGTCGTCATTCTATTCAAAGAAAATAGAAACAGATGATCTTGGTGTGCTGAATTGCATGCTGTTCTCCTAGCAGTGATGAAAGAACTGAACAGCTGGAAAAAGGCCCTATGTTTGGGTCTTCACTTGCTCATAAATAATGCCAGATAGCCTGGCCAAAATGTCAGTCAGGATGGCAATGGAGACCTGGCCTGCTAAAGGGATGCTCCTAGAGGACACAGTCCTACAGAAATTTGAAGGGGTGCATTAAAGTAGGACACATTAATGCCTTTCAAAAGAACTCCCTTCTAGGTTTGGAAGGTGACTAGAATTATCAAGCAGATGTCCCTGCATGCCCCTTTGAGATGGTCACCTGGGCCCATGAATGAGGGGACATGGTTCGCTGTACTAATGCAGAAACAGGCTGAATTTAGACATATTCCTCTTATACCCTCTGAGGCACAGAAGGCTAAAATGAACTATATCTGTCTACAAGAGAGTCAGAGACTGCAGATGGTTATTTGGCAGATTACCCGGTAGGAAGGCCAGGAATATAGCTGGCAGGTGAGACTAATGCTAGTAGCCTTAGGGAGGTACAAATGGGTCCAGATAGGAACAGACATTGACTCTGGACCATGCTTTGCTTACCTGATTGTAGATACAAATGCTCTGACTGCTATAAAAGAACCAGAACAGAAGATATTGCACCAGTTTGGATGGCTGACCATCATTTCTTCAGACCAAAGAACACACTTTATAGCCCATAATGTTCAACAAGGGGCAAAGAGATATCCTCAGTACTAGTTCGATAGAGAATTGGAATGGGCAATTAAAACATAGGTTGTCTAAAAATAGATAAAGGCAGCAAGGGCTGGCTTATATGTCTTCATGAGTATGTGCTCCCACTCAACATGAACATGAGGGGGGCTAAAGGAGTGTCACCACAGGATATATTTCTCTGTTTGGATCTGGGGAAGTAAGGATGGGAAAGATGCTGGTATACTTTCTTTCCCACATCACCTCAACTTTTTTCCTCCTAGCTGATGCAGGGGTCACAGGACCAGGACTACAAGTATAAGGGATGGAAATGGATGATTCCTAAGCAAGAAACTATAATCATGCCAGAAGGGGTGAAGGCACATCTTGCCCCATCAGGCCCTTTTGAATTATAACATAAAGGTTAAAAGCATAGAAGGAAAAATAGTAGCTATGGGTAAAGAAATGAATAAATGGGTTATGTAATGAGGAAAATCCAATATTAACACCTCAAAAGAAGGTCTAAGCAAGAGATGATATTGTCTCTTAGCTCAATTATGCCAGATGCCTGAAAGGGTGAAGCCATATATTGCTGACAATCCCTCTTGCTTTTGGAACCTGGTAAGATCAAATGGAAGCCTACAAACCCGGGAGACATTTTCATATGATAATGATGATGGGCTGGATAGTTAATAACTGAATGGGATTCTAGTAATGTGCCAACTACTTTTGACTTTTACTATTGTTTTACTATAATAATCAGGTTATAACATATATATATAATCGTGTTTGAAGACCAGGGGTAGACTGTGATATTGTGACTTACAAGAAATATGTATTTGGTCCTCGTTCTCATTTCTAGCACAGAACTTCTAAAATCCTTGAAATCTGCTAAACTGAGAGACAAAATGGTGTCTTTTGTTATGTTAATGAGGTGGCTTTTAGAATGTCCCTAGGTCACCTAAGGATGGGGGATGGTTGCTAGAAGAACCAACCCTGTGATTGGAGGGTTGGAACTTTCAGTCCCACCCCTCCTGGGATGGGGGAGGGGCTGGAGGTTTCACCAATGGCCAATGATTTAATCAGTCATGCTTATGTATGATGGTTCCATAAAAACCCAAAGACAGGGTTTGGAGAGTTTCCAGGTTGGTGAACACATGGAAATGCAGGGAGAGTGGTGTGTTTGGAGAGGGTATAGAAGCTCCACGCCCCTTCCTACATACCTCGCCCTATATATCTCTTCATCTGGCTGTTGATTCATATCCTTTAATATCTTTTGTAAAAAAACAAAAACAAAAACAGTAATCTAAGGAATAAACTGGTTTCATGAGTTCTGTGAGCCCCTCCAGCAAGTTAACTGAACCCAAGGAGGGGGTGGTGGGAACCTTTGATTTATAGCTAGTGGGTCAGAAGCATAACAACCTGGGTAGGCAGTGTCAGAACTGAGTTGAATTGTAGGATAATCAGCTGGTACCCAGAGAATTGTTGGAGGTGTGGGGACCCCCTGCCACATTAGAAATTGGCAATCAGAAACCTTTTAGAGAATATTGAATAAGGTAATTTGATGTTAAAGTTGGCAAATGTTTCTTATAAAAGCGAGATTTTTTAAATTAATAGTTTATCTTCTTGCATCAAAAGTGTTATGATTGACAAAACCAACTATGGAATATTTCAAGTAGTTTATGCAAAAAGTGCTATAATAAATCTGAGATGGTATAGTAGTTTTATAATGAGAAACTCATATTACCCGTATTCTCATTTTGGACTCTGGAAGATCAAAATTTTTTTGAGTTTTTTTCTTAAATTTAAATTCAATTAATTAACATATACTATATTATTAGTTTCAGAGGTAGAGTTCAGTGATTCATCAGTTTTATATAATACCCAGTGCTCATTACATCACATGCCCTCCTTAATGTCCATCATCCAGTTACCCCATCCCCCACCCCCCTCCCCTCCAGCAACTCTCAGTTTGTTTCCTGTGATTAAGAGTCGCTTATGGTTTGTCTCCCTCTCTGATTTTGTATTATTTTATTTTTCCCTCTCTTCCCCTATGATCCTCTGTTTTGTTTCTTAAATTCCACGTGTGAATGAGATCATAGGATAACTATCTTTCTCTGATTAACTTATTTGTATTTAACTTATATATAACTTATTTATACCCTCTAGTTCCATCCTCATCGTTGCAATGGCAAAATTTCATTTTTTTTTGAAGACTGACTAGTATGGAACATCAAAATGAAGTGACAACTTTTTATATCCAGGAAAGGTCAATTTAAAAACTACCTGGAATTTATCACGCGTAAACCAAGCCTAGCTTGAACTACAGAAAAGGACAGTATCTTCAGTTTATCTGATATTGCCTTTGAAAATCCTTCCCCCAAAAAGCTAGAGAAACTAAGAAACCAAAATTTATCCTATTATTGATTATATTGCGAATAACAACCAAGTAATATCATATATCAATTCAAAATTAATATTCCATATGCCTCATGTATCCAGTATCAACAGGGGGAAAAATGATACCCCTTTGAGAGCTATGATATTGTAAATAAATGTCTTATGAAAATGCATTATACTGTAAAGTGTATGTTACAATAAGTTACCCTTTCCTTAATAACTCAGAATCATCATTATGAGAAGTGTATCATGCCTTGCTATTATAATAGCAAAGTTCTCAGGGGCCAGTAAGGTAATCTGTCCTATGCTAAATAGCCCTAACTACTATTCTTTTTGATGTCTAAGGTTTACACATGTTTCCTATTTTCTGCCTCTGTCTTCATGGATATTTGAAACATCCTGCTATCATATATTTAAATCTGACAGTCCTCATTTCATTTCTAATTTACTAAGAAACAGAAAACTTCAAATATAACCAAAATCAAAAATTTTTAAATCTCTGAGGGAAGGTATGAACTTCAGTGCTTCAAATTTGTGGAATCTCTGTTTTTATCTACACAGAGGTATTTGGTGCATCACATTCTGTTCTGAGTGAATGAGATTACTAGATAAAGGAGTGACTACTCGAAAAAATGTAGGCTTTGTTCTTGGAGCTAAATAAATACCAAGTCATTTAAGAATTAACACTACACATTAAAAATTTTTTTAAGTATGGTAAAAATTAAATAAGACATGAAACCTTAGGATCTTCATAACTTTGTTCCAGGGAGATCCCACAAGACAGAAGAAGAATTTTATAGCTCTGGATGAAGTCATAGATGATAATAGAACGTTCTTTATCAGATTCCTCTTGAAAGCAGGATAGAAGATACCACATTCTGTCTTTCACAGTCAGGCTTGGATCCAGAGAAGGTGGGACCAAACTGGAACTAATTTCTTTAGAAAACAAACAAACAAAAAGTCTTAAGGCAAGAATTACATGCATTCATTTGAAACAGCAATCTTTAATGAAAAGACTGAAAAGCCCAAGGGTCTAGCTCCATGGAACCAATAATTCAGCATAACCTTATTCAGGTCATGTTGGCTACATAGACGAAGTGCTTCATATTCTAAAAATTAAGGCTTGTGCTATGTAATTAATAATGCTCTATTCAATTAGGTGAAATTTTTAAATAACAAGATTTCTAAAAATAAATTTACATTTCTCAGAATAAGGAGTTAAAGAAATAAAAAGTATTTTTTTTTTGAAGATTTTATTTATTTATTTGACAGCGAGAGACACAGTGAGAGAGGGAACACAAGCAGGGGGAGTGGGAGAAGGAGAAGCAGGCTTCCCGCCGAGCAGGGAGCCCGATGCGGGGCTCGATCCCAGGACCCTGCGATCATGACCCAAGCCGAAGGCAGATGCTTAACGACTGAGCCACCCAGGCGTCCCAAAGACATAAAAAATATTTTGAAATGAATTTTAAATGAACTTTAAAAAAAAATTTAGTATGAACATACAATGTTAGATCTAAAAAAAAAACAGAAGTTCAAGTATCTATTTAACATAACACATGTTCCCTCAAAACAACTGAAAATATTTCATGCTTACTCAGGAATAGATATTATATGGCATTCTTTAAAATATTTACTAATTTTGCTGCTGTCTAAAACCAATCTATCAGCTAGGTAATGTAACAACTGTAATAAGATCACAAGGTATTTCCAAATTATACCCTCTCAATTCCATACACATCTACAAAGGCTGTATGATTCAACCGCTGTAGATGTTCAGCTCATCGCTGTCTCTAGATAAGTTCCAGACCCAGTCAATAACATGAAAAAAGTCTGAAAAGAAACTGCTATGATCCAATTTTCAAAAACAAACCTTCAAGGTGGCCAGGGAGTCCCTAAGTGTCCACTGCCTTCAAGAAGAAAAGACACTATCAGTAGCCATGTGATAAGTAAAGGAGAGTAAAGGTGGTGCTTAAGACATTCATTCTAGTTAATATATGAACTAATGTACACAATAGCTACTATCCTCCCAGAAAGAATTTTTAAGCCTAAAAATAAATTTTAAGTATCAGAAAATTATTGTCAACAAACAGGTCACTATCCTAATAGAGATTATATTAAAATTAAATGGCGATTAAGCCAAATAGTGATTACTTACCAGGATGCTTTTGTTCCTTCTGCAATGAAAAATAATAGGCATCTCTTCCACCCCAGCATACTGCCAGACCAACCACCAGGATGTCATCACAACCTTTAACAGGAACGCCATCATCTCTAATAGCGGTTTTCTGAGGTGAGCTAGCTAAGTAAATCAAAAGTGAAATAGTTAAAAATCTCAAAATAAAGCCATTAAACTGAATGCTAAAAAAACAATAATAATACAAAAATTATTTTGCAAAATTTCCAGATCCCTAAAATATCATTATTTGGATGGTCATTTTTAAGTATATGTAAGATCTTTCTAGGCTTCCCAACTATTAAAATAACTGTCAGTATGAAAAATTTACCAAATATATCTTAAAATAGATCTGTAATAATGACTAAAATGGTTAACTAAATTTTTTTAAAGCTGCATTTTGAATTGCTATAACTCAAACAGAAATAAAGACCACTTGCATGCTACAAAAATTTTGTAGTGACTTCAATTCTTAACACTAAGACATTCCAGAAAATCAAGCATCTTACTTCTTGGTAAAGAATCAGGTATGATTTTTGTATCTAGAGTCCACATTTGTTCTAAAATAAGGCATCTCCAACTTTACAGATACAGGTCAAAAACCACTCTATCTTATTTGCAATTAGATCCCCAATATCTTGAAAATAAATGGCACATATTTGTTAAATTTAAGTGAAAAATTTTATCCCTCTAACCCCTAGCACAGAGAATGTTCTCAGTTTTACGTATGTTGAATGAAAAATGGAGAGTACTAGTCAACACAAAAAGTACATAAAACTTGTCATTAACACATGTGCTCTATGACCTAAGTGTCCATTGATAGACAAATGAATAAGGAAGATGTGGTACACATATACAATTAAATGTTACGCTGCTATAAAAGGGGATGAGAACTTGCCATGTGAGACAACATGGACCTAGAGGGTATTATGCTAAGTGAAATAAATCAGACTGAGAAAAACAAATACCATATGATTTCACTTCTTATGTAGAATCTAAAACAAAACACACAAATGAATAAACAAACAAAAAGCAGAATCAGACCTATAAATACAGAGAATAAACTGACAGTTGCCAGAGGGAAGGGAAGGGTGGGGGGTTGGGTAAAATGGGTGAAAGGGAGTGGGAGATAGGGGCTTCCAGTTATGGAATGAATAAGTCATGGGAATAAAAGGCACAGCATAAAGAATATGGTCAATGACACTGTAATAACAATGTATGGGGACCGATGGTAGCTATACTCACGGTGAACATAGTGTAATATATAAACTTGTCAAATCACTATGTTGTACACCTGAAATTAATATATCATTGTGTCAACTATACTCAAATAAAAAAAATTAAAAACCAAACACATGTTCCATGAGTTGAAGATCAAATACTCAAACTTTTATGAACAAATCCATTCATAAATACAGAGATTTAAGAAATCTGATCAAATCTTTGCTTTCCACAGCAGGTTGTCAAGCTGACTACAGCTATTCCCCATGATACAAAATCCTTATTGTCATGAAGAAAGATAGGAATATACATATGTGGCATTATTTAACAAAAGGTTTAAGTCTCTTAAAACATGGAAGGACTCTATGAGGCTTTGGGGTCAACATTTTGGCATAAGATTCATGGACATCAGTTGGAGGTACAACTTGAGATAAGTGCTGAAAAATGTAGTTAATGTACATTGTTTAAAATATAGTCATTTTTCTATGTACTTTTGTGATTATATAAGTGAATAAGGATATTACAATTTAATACAAAATAATTCATGGGCACTGATGATTAATAAAAACCATGATGCTATATCATTAAGATACCAAAAAAAGGCAATCTTTGTTCAAAATATATATTTTAGTTTTTACAAACTTATATTCTAATATTAATATATATAATCATATATAAATCATATATGTCATACACACACACACATATATATATATATGATTTTCTTAAAGAGAAACATCATGTTTAATGGTAAATCTTAGCATACTCTAGCACCAGATATGGCCTGGAGTTGAAGAAGCAGCGACAGATAGGTGACCTCTGTGAAGTCTCATAAAATGAAAAGGATTAGGAAGGCAACAAACAGAAGAGCTCCATGGCCTGACACAGGGCAAGTCCAGAATAGCACTCAAGAAAGAGCTGCCGTTTGAGAGATCGATTCCTGATACACCCAATGGTCAAGATGCCAAACACTGTTCCGGTGCTGGCCCCCCGAGCCAGCCACAACTGTGGTGGCTGCAGCAGCAATAAGCTTGGCTGCTATGTCCTTGTCCTGAGAGAAAAGAACTGGTCTGGAACTCCCTTTGGACCACCTAGTGCGGGGATCTACTCTAGAAAGGCTGTTTAGGTGGGATCTGTGGCTTATGAAGAAAGAGGCAAACACACGCCTGATTAGACCACAGCTACAACAGTGGATCAGAGCCAGGTGAATGAGGAGTGCCTTGGTGGTCTGCATCAGTTCAGTAGCCCAGCTTGAGCTTTTTTCTCAGTGCTTGGCTCTCACACCCACATCCTGGAGTCACCCATCCCTTATACCAGATGGCAACTATTATTAATCTAGTTGCTCTCAACAATAGGCTGTTCTACAGGTAAACCCACATAGAAGAAACTTTAAACTCTGAATAAATTTATTACATTTCATATCCAAGACTGAAATGGCTCAGGCCCATCCCAACCCACTATTTTACATATAAACATGAGAATATGAAAAATTAAAAAAAAATTCTTACCTTGCTTAAACCTACCACCAATAGCAGCACTTTTAGAGGATGTCAAATTACTGATCTTTTCACAAGCCAGTGAGATGGAAAATCGCTTTTTGCACTGCCACTCCTTAATGAATGTCCGAAAGAGAGTTTGGTCACTTGCTACATCAATTATGGCCAAACTTCCTGGGCTGAACGAGGCTGGAGTTAACTGCGATCCATCCTGTGATAACTGCAGTGAAAAACTTGTGTCTCTAATAGGACTGTCCTCTTTTAAACCGTTTCTACTCTCTGAAGTTAAATCTTGGTTTTTAATATTTGAAGATGAGCCAAATGAGTAACTTTCACCAAGCTGTAAAACACTATGTGTTTTCCGAAGTTTTACAGAAGATGTTCCACGAATACTTGGAAATATCAGCTTAGCAGCAGATGCTGGAATAGGTGTAGGAGGAATGAGTCCATTATCATCAACTATACAATTCTCTTTACAAGGCAAGTGAGATGAGGTTTCAGCCTGAAGGCCATTGGTCTCCAGCGCCCCAATCTTACTTTCTACTTCAATACTAGGGGAAAATGAGATTCCCTGAACTTGATTTGGCTCCACATTTGAAATCACTTTTTGTTTGTCATTTACCTCTGTATTTTTTCCTTTCAAACTAGACAAGTTTGTAGTGGTTAATTTTTGCTTTTCATTTTCTAGAGGACTGGACACTTTGTCTAAAATTCTCTGCAGTCCTGGACTTAAATCAAATGATGCCCCTGACCATATCAATGAATTATTTTCCCTTGTCTCAGTTAATTTGGGTTTTTGAGACCTTTCATCTTTATCTCCTCCAATTACTTCTTTTTGTGGATAATCATTACCTACAGTCACTGGATCACTTAATTCTAATTCTCTAAGAGACACTGCAGTATTCCGTTTCTCTTGGACAGGACATATTTCTACATTGTCCAAAGCTTCAAACATCTGAGCAGAATCCATTTCTGAAAATATAATAGACTCATCACTGAAACAAGAGAACTGTTGCTGATTATCTTGATTCTCATTTGTATTTGATTTTCTAATTGGGTCCTCTGGTTGCAGACACATAGAATGACTGAAATGGTTTGATGTTAGTGCAGAAGAGAGGGGTTCTTTCGCTTGTATATCAGGTGGTTGTTCTTTTACTAGGTAGTCTTCACTGAAACTGTCAAATAGTAAACTATCACTCAAATTCAAACTTGTTTCAGGAACTGGCAAACATTCTGCTTCTATACCAGTGGTAGTTCTCTTTTGAGGAACCAGAGGTATAACTGGCTTCATAGCTTCTTGTGTTTGATAACCTTGAAGAAAACTATTTAATTGAGAGTCGGTGACAGAAAGTTCATTCCCTTTAAGACAAGGGCCATTTTCCCTCAAGAGTATTGGGGAATGAAAAATTGAGCTTTCTGGAGTCAGGATACCAACTTCATGTGAATCAGTGCCTTGTTTCATAGTATCTACAGTCTTAAGTTCCAAATGATCTGTATTTGTCACTCCTGGAGAATGTCGTTCACCAGGAAAAGTAATATGAATCTCATTCTGAAAAGAGCGTACCGAACTCTGGTTGTCTAAGCTCTTCTGCATCGTCCCTGTTGCCAGGTTGGCATCCTTTGCTCCTTGTTTGGCATTTTCAGTTGCTATCTGTTGTATTATTTCCTCTGACTGAGTATCCAGGTAGAAACTATCTTCAAATTCACAAGGAACTGAACCTAAGTCAGAAACACAATTATTCTTAGTTTTGTTTGCTGCATAAGCTTCTGTTTTTTCTTGTATTCTAGAGGTATTTAGAAAATTCTCCTGCTGGCCTCCTGATTCTCCAGTTGGGAGATGTATTCTGAGTATCTCAGCGCTACTTATATTATCTCCTGATACCTGAAAGTTATTTGATTTATTTTCCTCACCATTAAACTTCATACTTCCACACTTGATAATAACATTTGAGTCTCTATTCATATAACTACTGCCTGTCTCACAGGGCATTTGTCTATCTACTATTTTTTTCTGTTTGGTGTAAGTGTTTGTCTGTTTATCAGACTGTTTTTCTCGGCACTGGTTAATTGAGTGGGTGTCGGGTTTTACATAAACATCCTGGTTTTTTGAATCATTTTGTACCATCAGGACTGTGTTTATTTTTTCTAACTCAACAACGGCAAATCCTCTTCCATTTTCACTAACCATACTAGTAGGTTGACAAGTCACTTTTTTACTCTGGGATTGTGTGATAAAATGTTCCACAAGAATATCATTAGTTTTTGTTCTGTTTGAACTTCGTTCTCTTTGTGATGAGAATGATGCTTTGCTATATTTTCCCTCAGCAAAGGAAGATACATTTTTAGCAAAAGGCTCGGGACTTCTAAATTCCACATTCTTCTCATCTAAGGTAAATGAGTCTCCACAATAAACAGGATTAGATATAGTCTGTTCCTGTAAATCAATTCTATACATCCCAGTGTCTTTCACAGGGCTACTGTGTCTAGATTGTTTTACACGTTTACTATGTTTCCAAGATCCAGAGGCAGTACTCATCTTTCCTGAACTGAAACTCAGAGCTTCTTTTTTTGTTTTCTCAAATAAGAGAGTCTGAACAACTTTCTTAGTGCATGTTCTTCCCTCATTCAGAGAGGTTCTTAGCTTTTCTTTACTTATATTCAAAGAAGCCCGTTTTCTTGCTCTGGAAATGGAATGTGCCTGGCGTTCTTGATTCCCATTCTGTAACTTATCATAAAAGGAATTTGTACGCTCTCCACTTTTCTCTAAATCTTGCACAGTATTTGGTGAACGCTTAGCAGAAGAATCCCTAAACATCGAGTTACTTTTTTGCTTTGCTGTTAATCTTTTACAAGATCTTTTAGTTTGGCGTATAAATTTCTGTTCCTTTACTTCTGACTCACTGCTGGTCAGTGAGTGTGTATCAGAATTTAAAAGGGAATATGGATTCCATTGCACTCCCATTTCGACTAAGTCCTGCTGCAAAATCATTTTGGCTTCTTCCACAATAAGGGCTGCTGCTTCCCTTTCAGTTAAACCTTTTCTGCCAGTCACCCAAATAGTTCGCATATTCCGACGTTCTTCAACTGCTTCCTCTTCCTCATCAACTGCCTTTCGGGCACTATGTAAGGATGCAGGAAAAGAAATAAATAAATGCATTGATTCATTCATGCATACAGAAATATTTACTAAGCATTAATCTGATCTGTTCTAGGAACTGAAGAAATAGCACTGAACAAGAGGGAAATAAACCTGCTGTCTTAGAGCTTACATTCTAGTTGGGGAAATCAGAAAACAAGCAAATGTTAAAATGCATTCTACGTCAACTGATAAGAGTTGTGTACAAAAATGAAGCACCAGGAGGAGATGGATGGTTCTGTAATTTTTAAATAGCATAATTAGAGAAGGCCTCACTAAGACAGATTCATCAAGCAGAAACCTTTTAAAATAGTGTCATAAAACTTTCATTAAAAACAAATCCTCCTATGTAATATGAACTCTGGGCAAAATAATTGAAGGAACTGGAGAGTGACCAAAAGGAGAAACTGAAAGGGGTTAACTAAAAACTTGGATAAAAACCTGGAGTTTATTGACAGGCAGAATTTGAAAAAGAGCTCAGAATGACTGCAAGAGATATAAAACAATTGGAGAAAGTCCAGAAATGAGAGATCCAGAAAAGGAGAACCCCAAATTCTTCATATAAATTCTGCCCAAATATCTGGCTGACCTCTAATCTATGCAAGTGTGGGCAGACTCCAAGTAGCCAGTTAAAAGTCTAAACAACCGAACAGAGATTTGAATTACTGTCCACTACAGGAAGACAAAGTTTAGAGTTTGAGTTCGGCCAAGCTGACTGATAAAATATCGATGCTCTTCAGGGCAAAATAATAGATTCCACACCCTAAAAGGCCAAACATATACACAACTGAAGTACCACGAAGACAAAAAAAACAGGATGAGACATAAAAATTATTAAAGAAATAATGGCCAAGAGATTTCTGTTTCCAACAAGGATGGTGTAATAGGGACTAAATTAGCCTGTCACCCAAAACAACTAAAACCAAGGCTAGACGGTACAGCTTCCATTTTGCTCTCTTGGATTACTTACTCTAGGGGAAGCTAACCATCATGGCATTTAAGGACAACAAGCAGCTCTATGAAGAAGCTCATATGAAGAACTGAGTACCAGCTTGCCAGTATGTGTGCAAGTCATCTTAAAAGCAGATCCAACTCAATCCTTCAGATAACTATAGTCCCAGCCAACAGCTTTACTAAAACCTCAAACCAGACCACCAGCAAAGGAGCTCCCAAGTTCATGATTCACAGAAACTTTGAGTTAACATATATTTACTGTTGCTTTTAAGCCACTGACTTCTTTAAAATATATTTTAAAGTTTATTTTTTTTTAAGTAATCTCTACACCCAACATGGGGCTTGAACTCATGACCCTGATATCAAGAACAGCATGCTCTTCTGACTGAGCCAGCCAGGTACCCCTAAGCCACTAAGTTCTTAAAGTAATTTGTCTCATATCATTAGCTAACTAATTAGCCGAGTAAAACTATCAAATGTCAAAGATATAAAAAAGAAATTTCAAGGCCTATATATTTAGAAGGACAAAAGAATTCTATTCCCATTAGAATTCTTAAAAACAGCATGCAAAGCAAAGAAAGAGCATTTTTCTAAAACTCAATAAAAGCATGGACCAAAAATTTATAACCAGCCAAGATGTGCCTCAAATATTAAGATTCTAGTAAAACAGTTTTAAACATACAAGATGTGGGGAATTCTATACTATATTAGCCCTCAAGAAATCTATTAGTGGGTAAGTTTCATCCGATCAAGAGATGACTAGGAGTACTTCAGCAGTAAGACCAATGGTAAGAATTTGAATAAATAAAAATAGAGATTATATTACTTTTCCATCTCTACACCCTACAAGGATGGGGAAAAGGGTGAAAAATTAATGTACAAATGCTATATGTTGAGACAAAGTAGAAATAATGCACTTTTTAAATGGAAGGAAAAGGACAGGAAGAAAGAAAAAGAAAAGTGAGTTCAATGTCGATGACTATTGTTCAGGCAGTACGTAGGTATTACAGGATACCATTAAAATCTTGACAAATCAGGGGCACCTGGCTGACTCAGCTGGAAAAGCATGTGACTCTTGATCTCCAGGTTGTGAGTTCGAGCCCTATGTTGGGTGTAGAGACTCCTTAAAAATAAAATCTTAAAAGAAAAAAAAAAGCTTGACAAACCAGATAATAAAAAGTACACAGGTACCCACTAGAACAAAAATATATACCTTTCTAAATTTAAAAATAAAACTCCAAAGAGTATCCTTAGGTAGAGAAAGAAACATAGTAAATATACAATACACATAATTATAAAATAATTTGAGAACTGAAACCAAACATTTTAGTTAAATCAGTAAATGTGAATGGGATTAAATCATCTATTAAAAGAAAAAGATTTCAATTTGGCTCAGACAGCAAAAGATAATTACATCTCAGTGTGGTATATAAAAAGTACATCTAAAAGGAAGTGATTCTAAATGGCTAAAACTAAAGGGATGGACAAAAAAAGGGAAGCAAGAAGAAAGCAGTGAGGGATAGTCTGCATTAAACAAAAAAGGGTAAAATTTACTGCTAAAAACAACAACCATAATAAAGACAACATTACCGATCAGTCAAATGTACTATGAGTATTTACACACCAAATAACAAGCAATACTTTAATGAAGCAAAGACAAGAGATGCAAGGAGACAGAAATATATTAACAATTAGTAGACTTCAGTAAACCACTCTCATTAAAAGACAGACGAAATGTTGAGGAGGAGAGTAAGGACAAAGAAGACCTAATGAACATAACCAATGAAGTAGACGTTATGAATGAATTTCAAACATTTTACCTTTTTAATAGAGAACACATCTAGTTTGTATTGATCATGTATTAGGTCACAAAGAAAACATCAGTGAGTACCATAAAGTATATGTGTTATAAACAACACTATTAGATTGCAGTGTAATAAGACTAGAAATCATTTAACAAAATAAAAAAACAAAAAGCACTTCCACCTGGGCAAAAGAGGGAAAACATGCAAATTACATAATTTCTAACAAATAAAAACAAAATCTCTACATATAACAGTCTGTGGATTATACTTAAAATACAGACCACAGGAAAATTCACAGTACTAAATTCATGGTACTACATTAAAAACACAGCATTTATCAATAAAGATATAAGTCAACAAATTTCTAGTTCAACAAAATATTTTAAAAAGTACAACAAAATAGAAAGCAGGAAGAATGAAATGTAGTATTAAAAGATGAAATTAATAAGGTACATTATTTAAAAAAAAAAACATAGGCCTAAGAAAACAAAATCCTAGATTTTTAAAGAATTTAAAAAATAGATAAACCACTAGCTAACCTGATCAAGAAAAAACATAGACATTTATAAAATAGAAAATGACAAGGGAGGAATAACTATTGAAATAGAAAAAATACTTAAAATTCCTAAGAAACTAATTTACAAATCTCTATAAAAATATATTTGAAAATCCAGATGAAATGGTAATTTCCTAGAGAAATACAGATTACTAAAATGGACCCCATTAGAGATAGAAAGCTTAGAGAAACTAATTTCTGAAAAAATAAAATAGACAAAGTGATCAAGAACTAACCCATAGAAAGGCACCATCCAAGATGGTTTCATACAGTAATCATACCAAACTTCTACCAGTTCCAAGACTCTATAAGTTACTGCAAAGCACTGAAAACAAAAAAACACTTCGTAATTCTTTTTTATGAAGGAAGTCTGATACCAAAACTAATACTAAAACTTGAATAAAGATAGTGCAAAAAACACACAATGCAAGAAAACTATAGACCAATATTATTTATAAATAACAATGCAAAAGTATACTATTTTAAATATTAGCAAACGGAATCCAACATCATGTAATAAAATAAGATGACCAAATTAAATTTATTATGGAACACAGGATTGATTCAATGTTAGGAAATCTATTAATATAATGAACTGTGCTAATAGATGAAATGGGAGAAAAACCCTATCAATATCTCCATAAATACTAAAAAATCCTTTGACAAAATTCAGTACCCAATCATGATAAAAGTATTCAAGGAAATTTCATTTAATGGACATTTTTCTTAAAATGATAATACATACATACAAACCTACATATATACACACGTATCATAGTCCTGAAGACAGTATCCTACTAAAGTAACACCAGAGGCATTTCCACTAAGATCACAAACAAAGCAAAATGCCCACTATTACTACCATCCCTAATACTACTACATATTAGAGGTATCAGCTAATACAATTAAGAGAAATCAATTAAGAAGAAGATGAACCATGAGAGACTATGGACCCTGAGAAACAATCTGGGGGTTTCAGAGGGGAGAAGGGTGGGGGGAGGGGGAAACAGGGTGATGGTTATTGAGGAGGGCACGTGCTGTGATGAGCACTGGGCGTTATACTTAACTAATGCATCACAGAACACTACATTAAAAACTAATTATGTACTATGCAGTAGCTAACTGAACATAATAAATAAATAAATAAATAATAAATAAATAAATGTGAGCATATGAATTCCTAAAAAGAAGTAAAATAGCTATTTGCAGATGATACAACAATATACCTGGAAGAGTCTAGAGAATCAATGATACAAGTAATTCAAACAATAAAAGAATTCTGAAAATAGGATAAAAAATATACAAAAAGTCTTCGCAATACTCAAATAATAACTATGTAGAAGACATCATAGAAGAAAGCCACCAATTAAAATAACACTAAAGATTAAGTAGGAACAACTTTAATAAGAAATGTATAAAACCTGTGTGAACAAAACCTAAAACTTCTGTAAACCTATATGAGGAAATCTTTTGAAAACTCTTGAAAAATCACAAAACTAGATCATTTAAAGATGTTACCTATGCTTGGATAGGTTGACAAAACAATATAAAAATGTCAATTCTAAGTTAAGTTTCAGTCCAATCCCAATAAAATATCAACAAACACTTTAACTTTCATATGGGCAAATACACAAGAATAGCCAGAAAAATACTGAAAAACTATGTGGA